TCAGTAGTAAGCTACAAGTATTCAGCCTGAAATCGATGGCAATATCCACGCCGGTAGACAGGGTTCTATAGAGTGACTTATGTCATAAAATTTGAAGACGTCACTGTCCTTCTTTCATTGCGAATCATACGTTCTTTTTTTAAAAATCAGTAAGTGACATTGACCCAAATGAGAAATATTAAAACATCCCATTGAAAATCTGAAGGCACTATTGAAAACACTTTTTCTTCACATCAGGAAAGCCAGCATCCTCGTACATGGAGGGGTTTTGCTTCCACGAAACGTATTAAGCAAAGCTTGGGAATACTTATTTGCAAGTTAAATGGATCAGATTGACATTTTTGGCTTTCAGGCATTTAAATTTCATGACTGAAAAATCTAAATATTCCCAAATCCTTTACAATACATTTCGTACAAAGCACAGTCAACATATCGACATAAAAATGTGTACAAAGTAAAAAGTCAATAAAACAAGAATTAAATGTAGGCGTTTATTATTTCAAATTACAGGTTTTTCTCTGTCGTGAGCGTTACATAGCAATAATAAAAGTAATAATTATAATTGCAATCAAAGAAACAACATGAACATATTCATAAGAAGGTCAACAATTAAGTTATATAGAAATAATATGCAACAAAATATTTTGTAGCATATTAATTTATCTTTGACGAACCAGCACAGTTCCTGTGCCAGTTTTCTGATAGTGGGGTGTATAAATGCATACATGTACATCGTGTTTTCTTTACAAGTATGTTATATATATATATATTTGTATGTCTATGCTATATTTTATCATATATATATATATACACAAGACGTGGTTTTCAGACTTGAAATGCACAGAACATTGATAAGAAAAAAAGGAAAAAAAGAAAAGAAACACCAGCATTATTTGCAGACGTTCTATTAAGTTTTAATCAAAGGATTTTGGCAAGGTGCCATCAATCTGCCAACATGTTCCCTCAGTGGCCGTATACTTGTACTATTTGTAGTTTTCATGTAGGTTTGCATAACATCATACACCAACACTTGTACAAGCAAAATCGATGTTTTTATTCGAATTTGAAATGTGTTTTGTCCCCATGCTAGAGCACAAATAAAAGTTCCATTTTGTTTTTTTTTATTTTGGCTTTCTTAAAATCTACACATCATATTACTTAGGTTGAAAGTAATCGTTTGAATGAAACACAGTTTAGTGATAAATTACATTGCATATTACCTTTCCCAGGTGTGGTTTTTCATTTTAAAAGTTTAATTGCTAAAACGAAATTTTAAAAAAATACACAGGTGTGAAATAGCCGGACAATCGTCATCAACCAGATGCAAATAAACTGCATTGGTCTTATTTTTCTACAATGTTTTTTTTTGTGTGAAACTTGTCCTTTATTTCTAATATCTAACCGTTACCATTTCAAGTCATATTTTAATAAATTCAATAAATCGTAGATGGAATGAAGTGTAATCAGAAATTGAGTTTGAGAAAGTGTTCTCTCATGTGGAAGGAAATCGGTCCCGATTATACATATAATTGTTGAGCAATTGTTGGAGTTCTGTATGGGGCCTCTGTTTATCCTTTGTCAACCAAGGACAAGGGAAGAAACAACTGCACCCCTCATAACGATTGGCGGTATTTGTGGAATTCATTTCTGCTTGGCTGGAGAGATCTTAACACTGATGAATAATACAACTTTAACCAAAGCAAACCTTACAGTTCCGTTATTATTTATTAGCTTTCTGAAATCATTCCAATTATCCTATTATGCTGTTTATAAATAGAAAATAATTCATATCTGTTGGAAATATTGCTCCACCTTCAAAAACATGCTGGCAAATTTTCAAACGTCAAAAACTGATATTAAACCTTGAACTGAAACCCCGATTCATTGTTATACACAAAATGTCTTCCTGCAAAATATAATTGGCAAGTGTTTAAATGTTCAGTTTCATATAATATAAAAATTGTCTATCAACGTCCTTTGGTCATGGTATAACTGGTGAAAATCACAAATCTCATTATATTGGTAATATCAAATGACCACAAAAATATGAGGCTTTGGCTAAGAAAGTGGCTCAACTTGTTAACTCATTCACCCCTGAAAAATCATAATGAACTATTCCAATCTTTGAATTGGAAGAGTTCAAATGTGTCTTCAGGGGATGAATGAGTTTATGATATTTTGAAAATCGTTCTTTAGATTTACTCAAAAATGTCAATGGATATTCTTCTTCTTTATGCTAGCTTTATAGAACATGATGTAAATTATGAAGCAGAATATCAGAATGAATTAAAAAGGGGTTTACCTTTTCTTTTTAAATAACATGCAACACTGATACAGACCTGTGGCTAATCTTAGCAACAATACAGTTATATTCACAGTAAGGGAATAATTAAATTCATGAAAACGAGTTGGGCCAATGAAAGAAACGAAAAGCACCAATCTGGAAAAATTGCAAATAAGTAGAAAACATTTAGGGCAGCTAACTGAATTGTACATGAAAATAACTTAATTGTCTGTTATTTTATGGAATATAGCAATAGATAATATTTGGGATAGAAGACAAATATTGCTTAATTATGAAACATTTAAATGTTTCAGTTCTGTGACTTTTAAACCAATTTCTAGTGCACATATCCACTTTTAAATGTCCTATTTTGAGATACACTTCTCACGAAAAATATTTCTTTTTACCTGAAAGAAATTCATCACTACAAAGTGATACCTTGCATGTCTTGTAGACTAAGCATTGCATCATTGAACTATCATCTCACATTCATTAACACTGACAAGGGGAGATAATCTAAGACAATAACAGTTAGTAAGTACAGGTGATGGGCAGACTTGACAGTTACTGATGACCACTATCACTGCTAAATAAAAGCACCAGGCAAAAATAGGGGGCAGACTCAACAGAACAATACAATAACATATTATGGGCTTAGATATTGAAATGATGCAAAGCTAATAAATATTCCTATCTATAAACGAGTTACCTTCCAACAAATTGTATCCCTCGCAATATGATCAAGCTGATAATTTGTTTTGAAGTTCTGACCACTTGATCAATACTTAAACAAATATTTAATACAAATCAGAACATAAAAATCAAGAGAAATAATCTACCTTGCATATTACAACATTTGAACTGATTCAGTGTTTTGGATATACTCCCAGTGATCTGAAATCCTATGCTGAAGATCAGGTTACTTTCTGTAATGTATCATATCTTTCTTTATTGCTTGAGAAGTTCTAACCATTCTAGACATTCTGGATAGATATTTATCTCGTTCACCCCTGAAATTTAACAATGAACTATTCCAACCTTTGAATTGGAAGGGTTCAAATGTGTCTTCAGGGCTGAATGAGTTAAAGTATATATAATGCGTTTTCATTGGATCTTGCACATAAGTTTCAGATATTCAAATTTTAATGGAAAAAAAATATAAAAAACTGTTGGATGAATAACAATAATGCGTAAAAAGTCTCTATCAAAATTTTTATTTTTGTAATTTACTTTGTATTATTGTTTCATTTTTTTTTTACTTTGCAGAATTAGCTATACCTGTTCAGAACCTTTAAACTAAAATTGAACAAATCAAGATCATTTCATAGAAACACAAGATGATTTATCAAATTATCGCTGATCAAAATGTTGGTTTATCAATCTTTCCAAATCTTTATCAATATATGGCCTCTCAGGCTAAAGAGATATACTCTGCTTATATAAACATTTCTTCTCCAACCAACACCTAGAATTATCAGGGTTTGGTACTCTATTTGGCAAAAGAAATAAAACACAGGATATATATTTGACTTTTCTGCTGTGAAATAATGACTTGTTGGTGCTTAAAGTTTTAATTGCTGCTGAAAAAAAAAATCATAATAATGTGCAAAGTGTTTAATTTATGGTATTTCTAGGAGAAGACGTCTAATGTTAAAACTCTACTTCAGTGACATCAATATTTATATAACATACATTTATATGATATTGGGAACCGATTTTAAAATACAAACTTGATGGCCTGAGTACAGTGAAACCTCGTTAACCAGAAACAGACAGTCCAGAAAAATATTCTGGATTTTTGTGATATTTATAACAAATTTCTAAAAAAACCACCGGCAACAACTTACTGTGTTTAATCTGGATGACAAATTGTTGTATAATTTTTAGCAGAAACTAAATTGGCCCGGACTAACGAGGTTTTGTTGTAAAATATGCAATAACTAGACGTTTGGTGCGACAAAAACAGCAGCGTTCCCTGAGCTCAGATAAATCTTTCTGTTTACGTAAATACAACGACACGCCACAATTACAGTCTTGTATTACCGTTTAAACAACACCTAGAAAATGACGTGTCTACAAGACAGACTAAATAGACACTGTTATAACAGAAAGAGAGTGTACTCAAACAGTCACATATCGGACAGAATTCGGTAAAACAGAATGTACTAATATCAGAAACGAACCTAGCAACAACCAATAAATAAATGTCCAGTGTTCTGTCGACTTTATCACCATGACAACTACATGTTTAAATCAATTTATTCAAAAACAGGAAAATATCTCTGGCATTTGATTTTAGTAAGTACTGATTTTAGTGAAAACTTGAATTCTCGCATGCCTGAACTATTTAGTCGCTTGTTGGTTGGGGCAATTTCCCTTTTAGCCCAGTAATTTGTGGTCCCCAATTCAACCCCTAAAGGATGCACTTAGTGACCTCAGATGCTGAAGTTATTTTTATAGCAAATAGAAGCGAACTGATAAAACAGTCCCAAGATTTTACAATAACTTTTTAAAAAAAAAAGACTATTTGATTTGATTATCAATCACTTATGCAATGTTTGTTAAATGTCATCACACCATGATGTGTTTTATCAAAGAATTAAATTTGAGATTTTCAAAATGCCGGAAACGAAAACAAACACTACTGTGCAAATAAGAAACAGTAGGGTACAGTGGAACCTCGTTGTTTTGACAATTTTTGAAAAAAAATAAAATCTTTTTTTCAAGAAACTGTACTTAGTTCAGGAATTTCACAGATCTCATGAAATAATTCTCTAATTGATCAATTGCAAGACAAACGAAGTTCCACCATCAAGCTTTTAACAAATGCCCGAGATAATATTTCAATCATACATGCTACTTCTGAATACCTTGAATTTTTTTTTATAAACCGACTGCATCTTCTTTCACATATATATACAGAGAAAAAAAATTGGCTTTTACGTTAATTAATCAGGATGATTCATCCAATATTGACCACGTGCCAAACGTGTGAGATTACTACAACAACGTATGACACTCGCTTCTCACACTCGACACACAAACAAGTATACAATGTCCACATCAGTGTCATCATCATCATTTATAAAGACACAAAAAAATCCAATAATCTGGCAACAGGAAATACAATACTTCAGACTAGCTAGAGCTTCCGTAATGTATACCAACTCTCCCATAGCAGTTACACAACTTTAAAAATTTATCAAAAAAGATAGGTGTAAAACTAATGTCTGCAAGTTCTTTTGTTCTGCTATTGAAATATGTACAAATCGTATCGACCTTGATCTGTCTAGAAATCATTTAAAGGAGAGAGAGAGAGAGGAGAAATGTTCTCAAAGATAATCGTAAAATGACTTCATCTAACATCCTAGATTTTCTATACAAGAAATTCCTGCCATGAAGTGCGGGCATCCATTATTTTTTTCAAGTTGATGGATGAGTTGACATTCTGGTGAGTTTGCTTATACGGTGTCTGACATACAGAGTCACAGACAAAAATATCACAATATCATGTATTGACACGAGCAACCGTTGCTGTCACTGAATCGTCACTTTGGGCACGTGCGACATGTTCTCCGCGATGATGCCACGTTGGGACTTCTGGTGGCAGGAGTACATGTCATTGTGGCTCATAGCCCAGTCCTTGCTATCTCCGTAAGAATTGTGCGATGCTGGAAACTGATGTAGCCACGCTGATTTCACAACGGGGACAGGAATACCTCCCACTAAGGGCTGTTTATCACAGGCTCTGAAACAAAGAATTTCAGTCAATTAATATTTCTTAAAACAAACAGTTTTAGTTGATTGATATTTCTTAAAACAGAAAGTTTTAGTCAATTGATATTTTTAAAAATATATGCAAATTCATGTTCATTCATGAGAAAAGTAAATTTTCAAAACATGTAGTTCTAATGTGCCATTTACAAATTAAGGCTATTGAGGGCCCAAAAGGTAAGAATTTACAACAAAGCAAAATATTGATGTACAAAATAGAGTAGAAAGTATTTTTTGTCAAAAGTAAATTGACTTATCACTGCCCTTAAAAGGCCATCCCTGACCCTACTAGATGAAATATATCGCAAATTCAGTTATTTGGTACTAGGGCCCGTATTTATGACACGTACCGTTCTCATGCTCAAGCATGGATTTTGTGCTCAAGTCCAATTTCTTGTTCCAGTTATGAATTATTTAAAAAACATCTTATCTTGTCAATTATTTGGAAGAAAGTTAATAGACTTAATGCCAAACACTGTTTTCAATGTTTATGTTTAAATTTTTTTCATCGTTTGACATGATTTAAGCGAATTATAAGAAAGCTGGCTTGAGCACAGAATCCCTGCTTGAGCATAAATAAGAACAGTTTCATGAATACAAGTCCTGAATTTGTAAATATCACTTCTCAGTATAAGCAGAAAACAAAACTCTACTCGTAGCAATGCCTTCTTACTATATGACTATTAATCTAAAGAGCAATTCAATGCATCCCCTCTAAATAAACTTGTTCAAAGTTGTTTTGAGATTACAGTTTGACCAGATAATGGTGATACAAGGGTCGAACCCTTCTTTAGAGTACATGTATTTTGATATTGATACAGTAGAAATACCAGAAGATTACTTCATTCACCCCTAAAAACACATTTGAACTCTCCCAATTCAAATAAAGGAATAGTTCATTATGAAATTTCAGAGGTGAATGAGATAATGGTGCCAGTTGAATTGGTAATGTGCTACAGAAATAACATGGTCTAAAATCTTGAAAATATATCATTTTTTCTTTCGGTAAGGAATTCAATGTTGATTTGGGAGGTCATGCATAACCTTTCAGATCTGTCAATAAACATAGCACTCTTCCAAAGAAATATATAAACCTGTCTGAAGAAACACATTTCTGAGAAGTAACTTAATTTTTCACAAAAAAAAACATTCTGAAATTCTGTAGTGGGTATGAGGTTAAACCCCTAGAAATTATTGAATAGTTTCCAAAACAGTCTTCTCTCTGGTAAAACTTTGCTATAAAAGAGAAAACCCTGGGATATGGGGAACCATTATGTGGCAGTTAGCCAGATGGCAAATGAGGCAATTAATGGACATTAACTATTTGATTTTTCTGTACATTTCAGGATATTTTAAAAAAGATGTTCCTGTGTTTATCTATATCAACTTCTTGTAGAAGGGTATCAGTACTCACCTGTTCTGAGTCTTGTTTGCAATGTGAGTCTGTATCACAGACGCCGGGGTCGCCCCTGATATTGGACTGCTCGATGCCCCTCCACCACCCATACCGTTCTGTTTGGGACTACCACTATTGTCCGATCGTGGGGTGGAATTGGGGCTCGTTTTAGAACACTGTGCCCACGTGCCTGACACCCTGGGCACAGACATATTATTATAGTTATTCACAGGTGGGCTTCCCATTTGCTCGGAACTACTACAACGAGAAGAATGAAGAGTTCGAGGACTAGCTGCATTTTTTATTACAGAACTATGATGCAGAGGCATTGAAGGGTTGAGTCCCTGACTGCCCTGTAGGACGTCTGAGGGAGAACATATCACCTTGGTTTCTTTAGATAACATGTTCTGACCGTGGAGGTCGGGTTTGAACAGCGAAGAGGTCAAACAGGGGGAGTGACCGACCATGCTTTCTCCGTTCACAAGTGAGGTACCGTTGTACATGGAGGAGGCTCGCAAATCCACAGGTTCCAGGGAACCGTTTAACAGATTAGGGAGCCGTTCGTTTCCATAGTCATATGTGTATTTCCTAAAATCGTTGTCTAGACGGGATAGTTCCTCACCATAATGCACTTTTTTGGCATAACTTTCAAATCCATATTTCGACATATCGTAACTATATTTTGTTGAGGTGCCCATTAGATCAGGGTAGCTGTTACCATGGTAACTGAGCGTGTGCTGGTACTGCCGGTGATGCGGCTCCAGGTAGAAACCATTGGTGTAGCCATGTTTGTCTGTGTCGAGGCGGTAACTGTCTGTGCTTGGGTACACGGCCCCGGGGAACCCCGAGTACCCATGTGACCTATACAGGTCTGACTCGAGGCCAAAGTTATTTGTTGGATATGAGTAGAGTAATTCTGGCTTGTAATCGCTTCCTTCGTAGCCATTATACTGGGGGTAACTTGTGAGTCCATTTTCTCGACACATCTTTCGTTTCCTACCAGGTGCCTGTACATATTCACGAACCTGATTCTTCTGTTTATTTTTCTTTCCATTTTTTACCTTTAACATGTCGTCACTTGGAAAGTCAAATCCTGAGCATATGTCTAAATCAAGAAGAGGATACGGAAGCTTGAATTCATTGCCACGTTTATGGAAGAGATCCTGTCCCTCATCGTCACTGTAAAAAAATAAAAAAAAGTCACATATTCATTGCATCAAGTTAAAACCTGTTTCAGTTATTTCTGAACAAAAAACAAGCCTTATACGTGTCTTACATATATAGACATATTTTGATAGAAACATTTGCATTAATTTCTAAGACAGAAAACATACACAATGAATGAACTACTTAGACAGAAAACATACACAATGAATGAACTTAAGACTGCATGGAATCCATCCAACTTAATTTATTTATGAACTGCTATTCAGTTTTGAAATTTGTGAGTGAATTTCAATCACAAACTGATATAAAAATATCTCAAAGAAATATGTGCAAATGGGTACAGTTTTGCTTAATATGGAACTTAATTTTGATCAAGATCAGTCTGAAAGCTCTCTGCTGCCCACCCAAATTTAGAGAACTGTAGTCCACAGGATGTAATTAAAGTTCTGATTCTGGGCAAGGCCTCACTCTATAAAACTGTTTAGAGAAATATAGTCTTCCCTGTGTAAATTGTGAATTCTGGTCCTAGTCTATGAACATTTCAGCAGGTCGATTATTTAACTCTGTCTACATGTATAACCAATCTATAATTTAGAGAACTATGGTCTACAGTGTGTAAGTTCTGATTCTGGGCAAGGCCTCAGTCTAAAAAAAATAACAGCAGGTCTATAACTGAAATGTCAGCAGGTCTCACTCTATAACCAAAATTTCAGCAGGTCTATATACCCAATCTATATTTTAGAGAACTATATGGTCTAAAGAAATTGTGAATTCTGGCCATGTCCTAGTCTATGAAAATTTCAGTAGATCTATAACCAACTATAATGCATAAATTCTGAATTTCTAAGACTGAGAGTAGAGTGTAGATACATTTCTGTTCTTTTCCATTCTTTCCTCCCCTAATTGTCAGAAAAGTATACACCGCCCATGCTTGACGTGGAGACCCGTAGGCCGAGAGGTGACGATCAATAAAACTACTGGCCTTATTAGTCATATGTACCTGTTTAGTCTCACCGGGACAACGAGGTGATAACTCCGCTCACACAATCATTACATATCATTTCATTTCGAGGCATCTTCCATTTTAATTAAAACGATCTTATCAGTGGCTAATGACTTTGATTATGTTATGAATTTGGAGAGGCAGGAAACCAGTATTACTGCTGAATTATTGATGAATTCTACGAATTATTTGATTACCTCTGATTGAGAAAAGACACCTGCAGTATTCTCATAACTTGATTGAAGCTACACTTGTGTATTAGATACGTTATCTACATCAGTTATTTTGGCTTGATTATATAATAAAATGGACTAAAACATTTTTGATAAATGAAATTGACATCAAATAAGATTTTATAAGAACAATGAAGTCATTGCCCAGGATTTGTGGTATAATATAATTAATGTACATGTAAATGTAAATTTTTTAATGTGTAGGGAAACTTTCGAAGAAAATAAAAAGGTTTTATATAAAATTGGATTTTTGACCTTGCAGACCTGATTCAAGTCCCATTATACTGTATAAAAGTCTTAAAAAAATCATTTTCCTGTTAAATCTATGTTATTTTCAGGTTTTGTATAGATATGGAATTTTGACCTGCAGAATTGTTTTAAAGTGGCGAGTCCTATTCTACTGTATACAGGTGTTAAAAAATATTTTTTCTTTAAATTTATGTTATTTCCTTTACAAATATCTTACAAAGACAATAACTGGTATGAGTTAATCTGTTTAAGGAGTTGAAACCTTTTTGAAATTATTTCCAGTAGGGTTCCAGAAAAAACATTGAGTTCAATTAATAGCAATAGCACAGTGGGTAAGCTAGCTTTCCTGCACTTAAAACAAGAAGTTCAGGGGTCAAATCCCCCTGGTGGAATTTCTTTTGTAACCCCCCCCCCCCCCCCCCCCAAAAAAAACCCAACCCAGAAATGTATTTCTTTTTGTTCAAAACTCTTAACATATGTAGCAAATGGGCAACAACTCCAAGTTAGAAGATGCTAAATAAATTGGAACTCTTCTGTGTTGGAGATACAAAACATCTGAGCACTGGTACGCTCTACCTTAAAGGAATTTTGTAATAAACTTCTGACATTCTAAATTACATTAATGAATGAATATTTTTAACCTTGCATTTGTCAAAAAAAAAAAATCAAATCATTTACTTTCAGCCTTGGTTATATATTTGTTTCAATGCAAAAGATAATATGTGTATGCTCTCAGTTTTAATTGTCTGTCAACAATGAGCCAGGGGAGACAATCAGTCTCGCATGCCAGCTACAGGAAGTAAACGATCCACGAACATTTGACACTTCCTCCCCACTAAACCGACTTACAGATTCTGTCCATTAGGCTAAATATAAGTTTGCTCCATTTCAACACAGCCGTATATAAAAACATGGACGAACAATTTTAATAGAGACATCACAATGTCATAAACAAGATTCAGCTATCAACACGAAAAATGGCTCTTAAAGAATTTCTCTCCAATGAGGGTCGTTTGTGCGGACTTTACTTTCTTTCCATGTCGAAGAAACGGAGGACAATAAAAGTGAATCAAAGGACAACATGGAAGGGGGATGGTTTACATTAAGTGTTTGCGATGTGTTAGTGCTATCTTGTGTAATTCTGTCTAATGAAGCGTATAACAGCATTACAGAGCCCAACTGTTGCAAACATGGATCATGCCTTGTTAGCTTCCTTTTATACAAATCAAACATTCTATCATTCCTAAAAATACAAAATTTCTTATATTTTTTTTGCATATATTTTTCTTAAGATCATCGAAAATTTGAAAATAACCTTATTTTGAATTTCTTTTCACAGATGAAGTAAAAAGTAAACCCTCACAAAGAAATAACTTTTTATGTATTTATTAAATCAAGCTGACCAGGAATTTTGGGTTTCACCCACAAGTAGTGGCTTGCTTTGTAGTACTTGTTCTCTGGGGAGAAAGCATTTCTGGTTTCCAATGGCGAACTATTACACAATTAATTCTGCGTGGGTAGAGGCATTCTTGTTCTTTTTTGGGAACAACCGTTTACTCCCCTTATGTAACGGAGAGGAGCACAAGCATGATAGAACACATCAAATTAAATAAATATTGTCCAATTTATCTATCAAACTTATCCATGCAGCAACAACAGCATATATCTAGACCATAAAAAAGTAGAACCTCTCTGTTTGTTTCGCCATCATAAATATAAATATACCAGATTGATGGCTTAGTTGGATGTTACGAGGGCTTAAAGACATTTTACCCAATAATCTATTAGTTTTCTGAAGAAACACCCTATGTATTTTCATACTTTTCTGATATGAGATATACACCGATTTCATTTGGACAGAGGACAAAACATAACATGGATGTGTAAAAAAGAAACCAGTGCTCAAACTTCAAAGTAAACCCTATAAAATTAGTGCCAACTTAATTTTCTTGGCACAAAAAATGCAGAATATCTTTAGTTTCTAATAAATTATTTATCTTGCATGCTGTGATAAAACTAAATGGTAGACTCATATAGACAATCACCAGGAAAAACAATGTAGGTCTGCAGAAATCCCTTAATTAATTCATAGACCAAGTTGTCTATGAAAGGTTTGTAATGTATAATTCAATGATAAGTCTTGCAGTTTGGAAAAAAGTGGTGTACAAGATGACTTTTCTTCCTTTATTATAATACATTTTTTAATTATATGTGAAGCACTAAACATTAACTCACTCATCCCTACAATTTTGAAATGAACTTGCCCAGTCTTTGAACTGGTTAGGTTCCACTGCTACTTTAGGGATGAATGGGTTAAGTAAAATTTGTTCCGTCAAAGTATCTATTGTCTATGATGTGTGAATACTTAAGTTTAAAGCTGAGAAACAGATGAAGGGCAGTACACATTCCACCGAACTCTCCGTAAACAAGAAGGGGAGACAATTCAGACCCAGGTAAAATATGAACAGTTTTACTCACGTGAGTTGACGGTGGGTACAGATGATAAAGTCAGGCTTGCTGTTTTTGTAGATGACCTTGCAGCTCGATTGAAGCCAGAGCCAGCGGAAGTCTTTAGTTAGCCAACGGTAGGCGATCAGACCTGAGCTTCCAGTCTTTATCACTGTGGAAATTAACAAAATATACCATACCGATACTTGAATTATACAGCCACATGTATTACGGAAAATTTTGGCCACATTTAAACTTTCACCCTTTTAGGTCTTTACAATAACGCAAATACAGAAAAAAACAGTACACAGCATATACCACATATATTAATATTTTCATGTGAAGAACGAAATTTTCATTGGGAGAGTATGGATTTTACCAATAAGGGTGAATACTTGGCTGGATGAAAATTTCCAGGTATTCACTTTTTCATGCAGTTACAAAGCAGTGTTAAATTTATGGTTTCACATTTGTTGGTTTGTTGCTTTACTTCACTGGTAATGTTCCATGATTATGTAGATTTCTGTGTAATGTGATGACAAATATACAGCTTAGAAAATTACCCTCATAATGCATCCTTCGAAAATAGTGACCAAGTTTAACTTAGCTAGCAATCTTTCATGTCATTTTTCTTTTATTCAATTTGAAAATATAGACACAGAATCATGAAGAATAATGTAACATTCACTAAACAAAGTTTTTATATTGAAAACTTCAAATTTTTATTAATGGAACCAATTTTTGATACTTTTGAGCAAAATGCAGCAAAAAATACTTTAAAATAGCTATGTTGAAATCAGGAAAACATACCAATGAAGCTATATCGTAAAGCAAATAGGGATTCAAGTTTACAGAGTCCTAAAAACTTACGCTCTTGATGAGCTGCGGCGAAGTAGGAGAGGTCATCTGGGTGGATCAAGTCGTAACCAGACTTTGTGGCCAGTTCTCTGTCCGAGAAGCTAAACATCATCTTTCCTCTGTAAACACACAAAAATAGGTGTTTTCTTTCAATACATTGGTTTATATTTCCTAATTACCAGTCATGAAAAGGTGAGACAGTTAAAAACATTAGTGGTGAGAAGAAACAAAATTAACACAACTGTGAATTTTGAAAAGGGGAGACAACCAAAGGGAGACAACTGCATAAAACAACAATTTTTGACAAAACATATTTTTCAATTTTTCAACAAATGAACAAATATGACTATTATGTAATGTAGAAAAAAAAAACAGAAAGAAAAAAAGTAAAAGCCAAATTGGCTCAAAGGATCATCAACATAAAATCAAGAAAAGACCAATCCATTTGTTTAGGACAGAGCTTTGATGATTCTATATACACTGGTAAGTATTATCGATAGTATTTTTTTAATTTTGTGGAGTTGTGTTGTCAAAACACCTCGCTTTCTATTTAAAGACAATCAGATTTACAAACACAATTATCAGCCTCATCTATTCCTGTAGAATTCTTTATACATTAACAGCTAAAGTCAAATATTTAAATAAAAACTGTAATCATAAATTGTTGTTGTCGTAGCGCACTTAGTTTTATATCAGTGTTTCCCTATAGACTTCAAAGTGTCACTATGCTAAAAAACCAATGACGTGGCGTGCAATTGTTCCTTTTTCCCCCCCTTCAACTGCGTAACTTCAAAGGTCCAGGTGTTGATAGAGAGGCGCGGACCAGGCTATGTAACAATGAATCTTAACAGGTAATCCTTGAACTGACAGACAGTATTCATCAGTCAGGTTAGCCAACCAACTGGTCCATAATAATGGGACATCGGCACCCAATGTTCTTCGCTAATTGTATGTGAAAAAAACTGTCCGAGTAGTCAGTGCATAAACACATACCGTAAATAAAACCATATACTACATGACATATCTCAGATAAAAAGTTTAAAAGATTGAGTCAGAGGAAATTTTTGCATCCTACATCTATAGTAGCCCTCATGGATAAGTTTCCTGTTCGAGTACTAACCTTTGAAATTCATACGATAAAAAGCATTAAAGAAATTGAAAATATAAAATTTCTGAAAATGACACCAAAAAAAAAAAAAAATAGAGGTTAAAGTTTCAAAAATATTAAGAACAACTTTCTCAGGTTGATTTATATTTTTAAAACAACCTGATATTTTTTAAAGACTATGAACAAATAGTGCTATAGCACAGCTAATGTCGTATAATAGAGCTATCCACTGTTAATAATGGCGATTTAAATGACAGGGTTTGACATTTACAGATCTTAGACTGAGATCTTATCCATGACTTGCTAATCTTATTCCAGGTCATTCTTTGACAAAAAAAATTCTTGACAAAAAAAAATGTGTCAAAAAAGTTCCGGTCCGACAGCTTGTCTGTAGTGATATATTGGAAAGAACTTGGATGGTCCTCTCCGGCTAACGTACACAATTAACGACTTCCTGTATTATAATATGTTTACAATCATTTTCACATTTAAAGGGGACAATCCACGTTATATTAAAAGCTATCAGATAGATGTTTCGACCAGTTAGGACTTGTAAAATTATTAGAATTAATTACTTTTTGTAAATTCAAAAAAAACATTAGCAGTTAATAAATGCTTTATTATTTTCAAAAAATATTTATGACATTTTTATGATTTTATGAATGGTCACAATGTTTTTTTACAATGAAACCTGTGTAAGCTGACACTACGGGATCTATTAAAAGGGTTAGATAAGACAATTATATGTTAATATACACAGGTTCTGTTTGGTATTATCTATATGAAATGGGATAACAAATGTAGCCAGATATGACAAGGCTTTGGAATACTCAGGGGGCGGACTAGACTTGCATTTGGCATCAAAATGGATACTCAAATTAGTTTCACTTCATAAACTAATTTGTGATTTTTAGTTAAATTTGTTAAACAACTTGATAACTGAAGTTGTTAAAAACTAATGACGAAATTAAAATATCCATACTTTTGTAAATTTTTTTTTTTTTTTTTCAAAATATCATTATATAGACAATTTTCCTTTTTTAAACAACATTGAAACATATACTTATTATTTGAAAATAATATCTTCAAAATCTTAATACAGTAATGATATGTTTAGTTTTCTACTTGTTTGTATGTCCTTATTTTTAAAAACAGAAATGTGATGTTCTTGCAAATTTCAATCATAACTTTAAGTCAGCAGAATTACTTAGCCCAGTGTCTGATCAATTATATGTCATATGTACCTCAGGATGAAACAAATAAAGGTTAAAAATTAAACACCATGTTTTTTTAAAAACAGATATACATTAACAGATAGAATGGGGCGTGTTAAAACCAGGAAAAAATATACACATCCAAAGTAAAAAAGATGGGAGACAGTGACTTCGTGTGAGCATCATTACACAGAAGTGGGCGTGTGTGTATCACCACTTAAAATCCGAATCTTGTGTCTGAGGGGCTAGTGGCAAATGGGTGTTATGACCCAACACCCCGAATAACAAAGGAATATACAGACAAGTAATATAAATGCTAGATCTGATGATGATCGCATGGCGTGAGAGTGGCCAATCGCACACCCGACCCATGTACGATACACCTATCTCGGTTGTGGCTCGCACAAGGTAGTGGGGGCTGCCATCTATAGCCATAATGAAGATATAAAAAAGAAAGATTTATGTTTTAATGAAACCTGACCCGGCCGGATCAACGTTTGCCTGTCGTACATACGATCTAACTTGCTCACCTGTGTGGGAAAGTAATTTGTCAACATAACTGAAAAAGTGTGTACTTTGTTTGAATGATATGGGGGTTGTCGTGGGTCTGTTTGGCCGTTACGGTGGCTAACTCCCAACCCAGGTGGTGTCTACATAAACCAGTACATGGCAGGTCGTGATGACAACTTCATTACAGGATATCCTCCATTAAAGCTTGCTGTTTCCACTTTTTCCTCCGATTTCACGCAAACAAAACACAACTTTACCTCAAGTAAACTCTGAGGTGTGACCCGCAACTGTTAAAGGCCCAGTGTCAGGTACATTAAGAAATAATATCGACACTGATCAGCGATAGGTTCTTCGATCTCCGATACAATTTGTATTTTGAAAACCGCATGTGCCTGGGGAGATTGGTTTCCCGATATGTTTATATTGGCAGTACTTTGTCAAGTGTTGGTTGGCGATTATAAATATAAAGAGCCGGGGTTGACTAAGATCGGGCCGATTTGTCTACCGTCGCTACCTCCTAAATCAGAGCTGACAATGGCCCTGCCGTGTGCACAACAACCGTTACATAACACCATTTGTACCCCGGAATTTTAAACGTAAGAAATGACACTTTCACATGTTTGCCTCGTTTCATTTGAGATAAGGCTCCTTAACTTGAGCAGTGGGTAGGTTTCACGACTTCCACCGATAGCGTTCTTTATTGTATCCGGAAATAGTGTGATGCTTGCTTAGATAATACTGACAAGGTTTGTGTAAAAGTTTTGTTTTGTTTTTTTTGTAAAAAATTTCTTTCCCTCCACTGTGTCTTTAGATATATGAAAATTTGTAATCCTTTGTCTTATTTCGATATCTCTGTTTTTTTCCCTCGTTTTGTCAAATTTTGTTTTTAATGTATATATATATATTACAATTTTTTATTTTTATTTTATTTTGGTGGGGGGTATTTTGCTTGTCCATAAGTATATTATTTATCAAAACAATTTCTTTTTGCTGTTAAGCTATCAATACATGTCCCTAAGTCCTACATGATATATATACAGTAATGAACAAGAATAGTGACAAAGGGTCAACAGAAGGGTCGGGTTCACTCCCCCACAAAAACACCCGACCCCCATATTAAACATATACTCCTAACTATTTAAGAGTGTAATTTGCAATTCTTAGAATGTTTTCTTTACTAACTGGAGCAAATTTGAGATGCAAATTTTTTGTCAAGTCACCCTGAATGAAATCCACACGACTATGTCTATATAGATCCATCCAAGATACTGTGCGTAAAGTAAGGTGATATATCAGCATATCTATAAGATAATAACTCCGAATATTTTACGGAAACACCGATACATTCCCAAAATCAAAATACCAAATACAGGGCTAAATTTTTAAAAGCTTTGTTAGTAAAGGAAGATTTATTTTAAATTACTTTCATAAATACTAAAAAAACAACAAAAAAAAACAACAAACATGACCACCATTGGTATCTCTAGTGAAAGTTTTTACATATAATGCATAGAATTTCATCTAAAACTACAAACTTGAATGGTTTACTTGTTGTGTTTACGAACCTTACAGAACAAACTTGAATCTACAACCCCATGCATAGCTAATGCTAGGAATGTCCTACGAAATATCGAAGATATAAGCTGTATCCCATAAGCAATAATACTGATAATCATTACAAGAATGTAAGACTTATCTTAAAAGTCTTCTGCAATATTTATGCTTGGTGTAGGGTTAGTGTCAACACAGTCAAGTTTAGCTTACCTGTTGTCCATGGACATGGGCGAGAAATCCATCTTGTGTTTCGACTTGAAGGTAAGTTCCCGGGAGGGCAGATCGAGGAGGGAAAGAGGACCAAAGGGACAGCATGTAGCGAAGAGAGCCAGCTGGGGCTCCTCCGTCCTCACATTCTGTCCGTGCAGCACACGAATCCAACCGTTGATCTCCAATGTCTGAAGACAGATGGTGTAAAAATAAATTATCTCATTTAACATTAGATTCAACTGGTTTTCAGTAAAACAGTTCATTACTATTCAATTATAGCCTTTGGCTGAGGTCGATACCTAAACTAAAGTTAAAGGCTAAAATTGTTTTATTATTTTCAAAACAGTAATGTAAGCAATCTGAAAAACACCACCCAAAAACCTCGGAAGTTGGACGTTGCATTGTTTGGAGACACGTCATAATTCTATTTTTAGAAACACCCAGTCCTTCAACAAAAATCATTCGCTCCAAGTCAATATCGGTTTATATCGGTGGACACGTGATGCAATCCTGGCCAATCACTTGTCGGGAATAATATGAAAACATAATAAATGCAAAAAATTTCAGCAACTTGCTCAAACCATTTTTTGGATAGGCGTCTTTTTAATTTAAAAAATCTGATTTTTATTTCCCCTAACTTTATTTCTTAATTTATTACTAAAACTTATTGTTTTTAACAATCATGCTCTTTGTCGAGCATTAAAATTCACCTTGTGTAGTCAAGAATTATACTAAATGTAGACTATTTGTAAGGTATACTAGACAATATATAAAGACGGGAGTGAAATATACATACTGCCACAATTCATCAAGCAAATATTGGCAGCATAAATGGGCTCGGCAAAAATTTGGAACAAGAAGCGTAGACAAAAAAAACGAAAATGGTTCATCGTAATATGTTGGTGATTATAGGAAGGTGTCAATCAAATAAAACAAAGTTATCATAATGAAATTTTACGGTACTGGAACTAGAGCCAGATAAGACAAAAGTACGAATGAAGAAAAGAAAGATGGCTACTTACTATGAAACCTGATGTGTTGTCCAGTAAACACCTAAACCTGACGGTAAATGACCGATGCATGTGGTGGTAGTTTTCTGAAATGAAAACAAAACAGTATTAAAAACATTGAATTATATAAACAACGAAAGTGTTACTTTGAAAATGGCGGAGCATTCTGGATTATAGCGACAGGTCAGGGTATTTTTTATCTATCATAATAAAAAATTCAGACTTTAAAAAAACTATTTTTGATAAGCTTGAAATAATTCTCATTCAATTGTGCAGCATTCCTGCAACTGAATTTTAATTTTAGAGTCTAGAAAAAGTAAACTCTAATGTGAAAAGAATAATCATTTTTTGGTTTGAAATGTGTTTGGCCCTAGCTATTTCCAAAGTTAATGTTAACAGTGAAATTTCTATTCCAAATGGAAGAAAAAGAAAATCTCTAAACAGTAAGAAAACAACATTTTCAAAAGAACTTATATATGTACACTTATAGACATATATACAATATAAGCAAGCAAACACGAGGGTATCTTTACCAGAGACTTGCTGACAGAATGAGCCGAACATTTTGATTATAATCAATAGTAGGATTTCAAATTTCAATGGTTTTAAATGAGTCTGTAACTGAAAGACCAATTTCTTCTTTGCTGCATCTCAAACCATTCATTGAAGTGTTTTTTTTCCATCCTCAAAGACATTCTAGCCCATTTCCCTCAATTACCTTGACAATCCTACCAGTGAAGCATCAGAACACCAGCATTACCAAGCATATTGAATTCAAACCCAAAATCTTGGAGTCAGCTAGACTCTCCGATTTTGTGTTTTTATTGTTTTTCTTTGTACAAAGATTAATACGGATCTTGTCTACAAACATCGTGTAATTGCCCAGGAGAAACAGCGCACAACTCTGAAATTAAAGACCTGAAGAAACCGCAAGACACAATGAGAAGGATCTGGAACAGAAACTGACTTGGGGCTTTGACAACGATCAATAAGAGTGCCAGGGTTTTGCCCGCCACATTAGAGTCATTTCAATTTGTGTCTCCATTGGAGATTGCACCGAGTAGTTATACCTGTCAAGTCGTAATCAGTTCCCAGAAAGCCACAGCTAAAAACCCTGTTGCGACACACAATTTCCTCCCCCAGTCGCCAGCAGAGACGAGCACAATGTTGACAGTCGCAATGTTTCTCCGACTCCATTGCCAGTTTTCTCTAGATCTTTACGACAGTGGTTACTCCACCATTAGCTTGACACAGGATTTCCTAACTAAAGCACTTTTCAGAAAAGGAGCATATGGACCTCTTACAGCCATTGAGGTCATCAAACTACCTCTAAAATAAAAACTCCTAGTAACCATGACAACTGTAAAATGCATTAAACTCAACACTCACACATCAACCAAACAAAATCAAATTCTGTGACTAATTTCACAAAGATACAGAGGTAACGTGTTAAGTGAATGAAGAATTATACATCCCAATCATGTATCTTGTATAGTCTAATGTTTGAAGCATTTTGCCGTATTCATGACACTTTCATTAAAAAACTTTTTTAAGGGGTGTGTGTGTGTGTGTGTGTGTGTGTGTGTTTCTCACATGATTCTCATTATAAAGGGTGGAGATTTGAGGACAGAGGTTTCCAATTAAACCCAGGGGGAAGAGAGAGAGGAGATTTGAGGTGGAAGGATTCTAACAGGATCCTGACAATACAGGAAGGAGATTTGAGGTAGAAGGATTTGGTTACAGCATCTTCACAATACAGGAAGGAGATTTGATGGGGGAATTTTCTCACTGGTAGAGGGACGTTTGAAAAGAAAGATTTCTCACACCAAGGAAAAGATGAAAAGGTAGATATCTCACAAAATTCTGATTGTAGAGGGTGGAGATTTGAGGAAAGAGGTTTCTTGCAGGACTCTAATGGTAGAGGGGGAGGTTTGATGAGGGGAGGTTCTAACAGTATCGTGATCGTACGGAGGAGAGAGTTGATGAGGGACGGTTCTAACAGTATTGTGATCGTCCAGAGGAGAGAGTTGATGAGGGACGGTTCTAACAGTATCGTGATCGTACGGAGGAGAGAGTTGATGAGGGACGGTTCTAACAGTATCGTGATCGTACGGAGGAGAGAGTTGATGAGGGACGGTTCTAACAGTATCGTGATCGTACGGAGGAGAGAGTTGATGAGGGACGGTTCTAACAGTATCGTGATCGTACGGAGGAGAGAGTTGATGAGGGACGGTTCTAACAGTATCGTGATCGTACGGAGGAGAGAGTTGATGAGGGACGGTTCTAACAGTATCGTGATCGTACGGAGGAGAGAGTTGATGAGGGACGGTTCTAACAGTATCGTGATCGTACGGAGGAGAGAGTTGATGAGGGACGGTTCTAACAGTATCGTGATCGTACGGAGGAGAGAGTTGATGAGGGACGGTTCTAACAGTATCGTGATCGTACGGAGGAGAGAGTTGATGAGGGACGGTTCTAACAGTATCGTGATCGTACGGAGGAGAGAGTTGATGAGGGACGGTTCTAACAGTATCGTGATCGTACGGAGGAGAGAGTTGATGAGGGACGGTTCTAACAGTATCGTGATCGTACGGAGGAGAGAGTTGATGAGGGACGGTTCTAACAGTATCGTGATCGTACGGAGGAGAGAGTTGATGAGGGACGGTTCTAACAGTATCGTGATCGTACGGAGGAGAGAGTTGATGAGGGACGGTTCTAACAGTATCGTGATCGTACGGAGGAGAGAGTTGATGAGGGACGGTTCTAACAGTATCGTGATCGTACGGAGGAGAGAGTTGATGAGGGACGGTTCTAACAGTATCGTGATCGTACGGAGGAGAGAGTTGATGAGGGACGGTTCTAACAGTATCGTGATCGTACGGAGGAGAGAGTTGATGAGGGACGGTTCTAACAGTATCGTGATCGTACGGAGGAGAGAGTTGATGAGGGACGGTTCTAACAGTATCGTGATCGTACGGAGGAGAGAGTTGATGAGGGACGGTTCTAACAGTATCGTGATCGTACGGAGGAGAGAGTTGATGAGGGACGGTTCTAACAGTATCGTGATCGTACGGAGGAGAGAGTTGATGAGGGACGGTTCTAACAGTATCGTGATCGTACGGAGGAGAGAGTTGATGAGGGACGGTTCTAACAGTATCGTGATCGTACGGAGGAGAGAGTTGATGAGGGACGGTTCTAACAGTATCGTGATCGTACGGAGGAGAGAGTTGATGAGGGACGGTTCTAACAGTATCGTGATCGTACGGAGGAGAGAGTTGATGAGGGACGGTTCTAACAGTATCGTGATCGTACGGAGGAGAGAGTTGATGAGGGACGGTTCTAACAGTATCGTGATCGTACGGAGGAGAGAGTTGATGAGGGACGGTTCTAACAGTATCGTGATCGTACGGAGGAGAGAGTTGATGAGGGACGGTTCTAACAGTATCGTGATCGTACGGAGGAGAGAGTTGATGAGGGACGGTTCTAACAGTATCGTGATCGTACGGAGGAGAGAGTTGATGAGGGACGGTTCTAACAGTATCGTGATCGTACGGAGGAGAGAGTTGATGAGGGACGGTTCTAACAGTATCGTGATCGTACGGAGGAGAGAGTTGATGAGGGACGGTTCTAACAGTATCGTGATCGTACGGAGGAGAGAGTTGATGAGGGACGGTTCTAACAGTATCGTGATCGTACGGAGGAGAGAGTTGATGAGGGACGGTTCTAACAGTATCGTGATCGTACGGAGGAGAGAGTTGATGAGGGGCGGTTCTAACAGTATCGTGATCGTACGGAGGAGAGAGTTGATGAGGGACGGTTCTAACAGTATCGTGATCGTACAGAGGAGAGAGTTGATGAGGGACGGTTCTAACAGTATCGTGATCGTACAGAGGAGAGAGTTGATGAGGGACAGTTCTAACAGTATCGTGATCGTACAGAGGAGAGAGTTGATGAGGGACGGTTCTAACAGTATCGTGATTGTACGGAGGAGAGAGTTGATGAGGGGAGGTTCTAACAGTATCGTGATCGTACAGAGGAGAGAGTTGATGAGGGACGGTTCTAACAGTATCGTGATCGTACAGAGGAGAGAGTTGATGAGGGACAGTTTTAACAGTATCGTGATGGTAGCGAGGAGAGAGTTGATGAGGGACAGTTTTAACAGTATCGTGATCGTACAGAGGAGAGACTTGATAGAGGGTGTAAAACCAACCTACCTGGCATCATGGCTTCATGGAGAGTCAGAGTAGACTTGTCTGAGGGTAGGGCGGAGTTCCATGTTAGTTGTCTCTTGAACTCATCGCGGTCCTCGGAGTGAATAAGCTCCATAACACTCTGATGGATGATGTCCGACTGTAAAACAAAGGATTCAGTTTAGTGGTGTAAATTTTTACTTAATATCAAAATAACTCATGGAATTGATATTCCTGAAAATATTATTTTTTAATTAAGAAAAGAGACTAAAAATTTGCCTTAAAATCAAATTTGATGAGGTACAGACTTAGGCTGATGAAATTTGTTTTTATGAATTATAAAGTCTGCCTTGTATATCAAAACAAGCAGAGCTCCAACCCTTTGGGTCAAAAGGTCCAAAAATAAGTTTAAGTTTTATCTAAGTGTTCATGCTGTGTGCTGAAATCTTTAAGCAATCAATAATGCAGCACAAAGATAATATCATTATTCCGACTCTATTTGAGTTAGGAAAGGTATGATATATGAATCTGAGATAGATTAACTGAGATTTATTATAACTCTACTTTATTTACTCTATATAAAAGTAATTGGTTAAATCGAATATATCCCCATTTTGCCTGACTGTGTTTTAGTCCTGTGTGTTGGTCTGGGAACTAAAACACACCTACACTCGGGTGTTTCCGCCAAGCAAATCAGGCGAGAGGTGGGCGGAGCTATATATAAATTGTTACCGAACTCGGAAACGAAGTACGAGGTGGGCGGAGCTTGCTACCAAACTTGGCAGCATTTGGCTCCATTGCCATCAAAAGGGTAGTTGGGACGTGAAGCTATACAGCTTATGGTTTACAAATATTTTCTAGTTAAAACTATCTCTCCAGTGTGTATCGGTATAATAAAACGGTTCAAGTATGGGGTTGAGGGATATAGCAAGTTTCTGGTGTCCCTTGATCATGCCTATTTCCCGAGGCGAAAGGAAATAGGCATGGTCAAGGGACACCAGAAACTTGCTATATGCCTCAACCCCATACTTTAACTGTATACTATATAGTATTTCATCCGTCATCCCAGAAAATACATCAATATCAAGTACATTTCAGCAACAAGCAAGGAAACAGAATTCTAAAAAACGCAACTCTAAAATGTCCTTTTAATGCAGGTTTTAATTTCTTCCTGAGCTTTAATATCTAAATAAAGTCCATTGATGAGCATTTTCAAGTCCGAATCTATATATAAACCTTAAAGCTGTTTTCATTGGCAAGTTTTTAGATTTCAAAGTTGAACATGCCCATTAATTAGCGTTACAAAATAAACATGCACGTTTATTAAAGACTATCCCTAACCTTGGATCAAGCAATTTCTTTCATTCTGGAATAAATTAATATAGGTGATTAGAAACTTCACTCCGCCTTTCACAGTATCAATCAGACTGGACGATACACTAATTGATAATCTGTTCGGCTATTCTGCAATCTTACAATCGCTGTAGCTATCAATTTGAACAGACTACTAAATGCTAGTGAAATCGTCTTGCAAATGTCTTCGAGATAATCTGTTTTTCTTAAAATTAAAGCGTTAAAGAATTTAAGGGTCAGATCGACCGCAGAAAGGCTATGCCAGAGCCTATTATCTAAAAGGCACTAATTAAATACAATTTCCATTTGATGGTCGTCTTAGTGTCCTAGTTGATTCCGTTATAGAGGCCCTTGATGGCTCTAGAATCGCTACTGATGCTGTTTCCAGGCGACTAGGTCTAGTGAAAGCATCAGTGTTAAGTGGGGATATATTGGACGTCACAATTCAACATCATTGTCAACGGCGTTGTCCTCTCAAGATTGACACTGTACGGAGGGGCAGTCATTTCCCCGCTGATCCAGCTCGGCTTTTTGGCAAATTTAAGGCCACCACGAGGGCTTAGTATAATCTCGTCTTAAATGCTACGGCAAATGTCCCTAATACTGCTAATTAATTGCGAGTCTTAACTAAAAAATCAATGGCCGATTCTCGCTTGGAAAAAAAACCCCAACATTTTATAACTCATGAACAAAGACGGATGCCAATGGAGAATGGGCTGTTTACCCCCAATTAGACATAAATATGCAGAAGACAACGATAATAGCTGGCCCCGAACGGATTTAGTTAAGTCATTACACCAGAATGGGCAAAAGATGTACATAGAGTTGATCGAGCCTTTCAAACGACGGAAGAAAAACGGGCTGAATTTCTCCTTAAGTTGTAGCATGGGTAGCATTACCAATTTTACAGCAAGAGATCACAGAGAAATTCTATTCAAACTCTGCACTGTTTACACATTGCGGAGAAGCCAAGACGAGTTATGACCAGCATCAAGTTCTCAAATCCATGTCCCATCGCGGCACATCGGAAGTTTATTTGTGTCAAGGAGGAGAATTATCAGGTGATTTCTGCGCGACACCTACACACTTGGTTAGGCATGACAGACTCGGCTCGGTGTGTCGTCAATGTATCCCCGTCTAGCATGGTAACCCCAGCTAACTCACAGCAACTCTAATTTAACTTGTGTCTCAATCCCAGTTATGTTCCTTGAACAGTCTGTAAAAAGGTGACTTAGGCGAACTATCTGAGGCCATGAAGCTTATTTATACGGCTATCACTATGAGTTATTAGTCCCATGAATTGTCTTTAGATTTTTTTTCCAATTCTGGACTAATACAATGCTAATGTAAAAAAATGTTTCTTATAGAGTCTCCAGGATGAGTTACCTACGAAGAACCAATCAAACAAAATAATGAACTTCTAAAAAAAAAATCAAAAAAAAATCTGTGAGGCACACAACTGAAGAAAGGGATAAAAAAGCTGAATTATTTGCTCTGACAGCTTTCATATATATGAATCAGACATTTTTTCCTCTAATATAGATTTTTTTCTATACCTTTTACATTATTTATAAAACCCCAATGTAAAAAGCCATGTTATCAGATTGAAATAAATATTATGAGATAAAAGAATATCTATTACACATTTTAATATCTTAATTTAATACCCACCCACCCCAATTTATGTATATTGTAAAAGGAATCTGAATACAAGGACATAAGCTGGTAGTTTACTCTACAGGGTATCAAAGAATATAAAACTATTTCGTGGATAAAAGAGAGAAAATCAACTCTAGGGGTTTTCAAATTGGTAAAAACCTGGGGCTGGCCGTGGGCTTTGCACTCATTTAAAAATCACCAGGATGGATTTTTCATTATAATCCTACAACCCTGGATATGAAGGGATATTTTTCTCTTATACCAGTCACCAGAATTAGCTCCAAAAACATAAAAAAATGTCATTACTTCTGCATTGATTTCGTTAGGTCGCATTTTTTTTTTTTCCTTATTGTGACATCACGCATGGGAGATGGGGTATATGGTGGAAATGTCTTACACCCCTTTCTTACCCTGGACACTTCTCACATATATGCAAAGGAATGAGAAAAATTGAATGAAATGTTATAGGAGACTAACTGTAAATAAGCCCATGCCTGGTAATAAGCCCAACCATATCATGGGCCAAACCCCAACTATTGCAGTTCCGTAGAACATATATGCCTGGTAATAAGCCCATGACTTGTAATAAGCCCACCCATACCTATTGCAGTTCAGTAGAACAGTTATGCCTGGTAATAAGCCCATCCATATCTATTGCAGTTCAATAGAACATTTATGCCTGGTAATAAGCCCATGCCTGGTAATAAGCCCAACCATATCATGGGCCCAACCCCAACTATTGCAGTTCCGTAGAACATATATGCCTGGTGATAAGCCCATGACCTGTAATAAGCCCACCCATACCTATTGCAGTTCAGTAGAACATTTATGCCTGGTAATAAGCCCATGTCTGGTAATAAGCCCACCCATATCTATTGCAGTTCAATAGATTAACTGCCACAGAATGCTAGTTCATTATATCCTGTAATAAGTCATGATCAACCTGGTTTAAGACGGTGACTTTGTTTTCGCCACCTGACTAGTGAATTTACGTTTTTCATATTGTAACAAATAAACATTACTTGTTTAAAAATATTCAGAGTCATATTGAATTTGCAGATATACTTTATCTGAAAAAATAAAACATGTTCGAAAATGTTCACAGGTATATATATCAGATCATTTTTATGTGCATATGCTATGAATTATAATTAATCCAATAACTTGCAAAGCTTGTAGAAATAAAAGACTTGGTCTTGAACATGGGAAAAACCTGTTAGGTCACTGCCAGAGTTACAGACAGTTTTACACCTGGTCCAGACTAATTAAGGTAACTTACCTGATGGAAGCCGAGGTATTGTTCCACCGTTCTGGAGGCGAAGAAGACCTCGCCATCACATGTTACGACAAACAGGAAGCCATACAGGGCCTGAAACATGTATATGGCCACCTAGATCTTACATATTGAAGAACTTTCACACAAACAATAAAAAGTACATTAACGTCTACTGGTTTTTAACTCTAACATTGAATCCCAGTAGAACTTGTTTGAATCTGTTTAAGAATGTGCTGTCTGGGATGATATAAGAAATTACAAAATTATTTGTAAGAAATTATGAAGAAACCTGTATTTGTTTTATAAGTGAGCTAATATAAGGAGATATATGAGTAATTATTCACAACTAAGCTAACAGATTAGGTACCTGTTTGTAAGTAGCTATGGTTTCTGTTATTATTCGTAAGTTAAGGTACCTGTATTTATTCATAAATTATCTAAGGTACCTGTAAGATGCTGTCTCCCTCGGAGAAGCCGGGGTCGGGGAAGAGGTGTGACCGCCCTATCAGATGATGAGTGTCAAGGTTATAACGGTCTGGAAGCACAGCTGCAAAACAGGTCAACATCATGATTAAGTTAAAGGTTAAAGGTCAAGGTTCAAGTCATAGTTAGTTGTACAGAAAAATATAATACACACATGCGCTCAATCTAGTACATTACCGTAGCTTAACATCAAACTAGGGTAAAATTTAAATATTTACATAAAACTTAATAAAAAATAATAATATTTAAAATGATTGCCAAAGACAATGTACGAAAAACTACTGATAGTTCTGCACACATTTACAAAAAAAATGAATTAGAAAATAAAAAAATCGTTTTGAAATCTTAATTAAACTGAATCTAGGAGCCATGCGAGCGTAAAATTAAGGATGATGATAATTGGTATGTTCATCCATGTTGTACTTAAACAGATAATAATGAAATTACTTGATAGAGTTAATAACATTCTATAAGACAGTAAAAGTACACATGAAATAAATTTGCATTTATTATTCATCCATGTTGTTCTTGCTGATAATAATGTAATTAAACAAAAGAATTTAATAACTTTAATAAAACAGTGTTAAAAGTACACATGAACTACAGTCATGTAACAGACCTGCATTTATCATTATCTACTCAATTTTGGAGTTACCTACTTGTATCCATCTATATATTTACAACAGCATAAAAACCAAACAAATAGTGTGAGGGCCTCATGCAGGCTTTGTTTTGAATGTGTTTTCCTACAAATAACTTTATCGCAAGATGTTAAAAATGTCTTTTCTTATCTTAAAGTTAAGGTTGAATTTAAGGCGTGATTGCATAACTAGGCCTTGATCAGGTTCACGCTCACTACTTCATCAGATAGACAAGACCACGACTATTGTTGGACGGGTATCCCATAACACAATGGGTTATCTACCATCTCAAGGTATTAGGCAAGGGTCACCAGCCGTGCCCGGCTTATTATAGCTCCGATTTCGTTTAATACTGTGCCATGTGAAAATTGTGATTTTGGAGTATTTTCATTATTCTTGTTTACTCAAAAATATTTGTATATATGGGAACAGTTTAATAAGTGAGAGATGAAAAGGAAGAGAGATGAAAAGGAAGGGATGAAAGGAGAAAAAGCAAAACAAGAGAAAGAAGGAGTAAAATGACATCAGAGAAGAATAACAGATGGGAAAAAAGTTAAAAACAAAGGAAAATAGAAAAAAGAAATGAATGAATTAAACAGGAAAGGAAAAATAAATGGAAAACCTAAAAGAAAGAGGATATGTGAGCAGATTCAGGAAACAGATTAGAGAAGGAAAGAAAAACAGGGAGAAAATAGGGTGAAATGATAGCAGAGGGAAAGAGAAAGGAAGGACAAATTTGTAAAAGTGAAACAATTAACTGACTTTAACATATATATAGATTCAAATGAGGGAAGGATTAAAGTTGATTAACACAAGGAGGATTTGTGGGCAGAAGGAATGAGGGTAGTAGAAACATGGAGGGAGGTTGGTGAATGGAAAGAAGAACCTGCTCCAGTAGGAAGGATTTAAAACATTTACCTCTGGGCTGACACGACTACTTTCTACAGAACTATATGCTACACCATCATACATTCTCATTGGCTGTTTGTTTTGTCTGCCATGTTTGTATACATATCTATGACACCTGCACAAGACTGTATCGTATCCTTTTTTAATTTTTATTTCCCAATACACTGTGAAGAATCTTAAATCTATACAAATGTGCAGAATTTCTATCTTGCTCCTGCAAACTTTGACTATTTAGCACACTTTAAGAACAATTTCCCCATTCATTGCATTACTTTGGAGTCCATCTGGATTTTTCTGCACACCTTACATATAATGGCACACATTTGGAAAACATCTTGATTTTCCCATTCCACCTACCCTACATGTATGGCATATAACTCCTGTTTTCTGGAATAATGTAGAAACAATAATTAAGAAATAAAACATTTATTTAATGGGTCTGGATGTGCAATCAACCAGAATTTTTATTCGGCCTGGCCCAATAAGATACTTTATGTGTTCCCAGTACCTCTGGGCAAATTTCAGCTAGGTCTGTTGAACATCCACCCAGTAAATAACTGTATTGTGTGTGGATGGGAAAACAGATTATCCCAAGACACGATCTGAAGAGGAAAGGGTGCTAACAAACTATTTGTCCAAAATCAGGAATTTGTTGTTGTTGCTAGTTTACTTGAAATGTAAAATGATAAATCTAATTCCTTTATTTTCTTTCCTTCTTTAAAGTATAACAGGAGAGGAAAGTTGCAAGACCAGACAGGAATTTGAACCCAGGATCTCCCAACTCTAACTGGCGCTCTTACCAACTGAGCTACCTGGTCGTCAGAGATCGACCCCGTCAAGTTCTGCTACATTTTTAAAGCCTTTGCCCAAAAAGACAGCACTACTTACAACCTAGTTGCAGGTATCCCCTTGCCAAGCGTACACCCAGCACATGAAACAGGGGTTGGTCACAGGCATCTGTGTAACAGGAGAGGCAAAATTCACAGCCAGCCCGGGGTTTGAACCCGGGACCCTCCGAAATCAAGACGGACACTATATCTATCAATTGATCATGAGTTACCTATAGTCACAGGCAATCTACCCTGTCCAGTTCCGCTACATTAATACAAATAACCCGTCAGTATGATCATCTCTGTTTGTGGCAATTGACTTGTACACTGAGGAAGAGGTGTTAAGGATTAATGGTTGTACTATACTACTATTAGTAATGGCCTGTATGTCTTACAAAGATTTAATATGTCGTACCATAATTTCATTCCACTGTGTATTACAGTACATATTTATCAATTAGCCATGAAATAATGTATCCAGCATCAAACCTGGATTTAACCAGAGTTTAATGTCCGAAAGACCATAAAATCCTGATCATACGGATTTCCTAATGAAAGTGGAAACCTGGTTGTCTCTGCTGAATAATGCAGTAGGTAGCACTTCACCTGTTAAAAGTACACCTGGGCACACCTGTAGTCTATGTGTCCAATCAGTGGGCACATACACAGCTAGTTATACCAGATTATTTATAAAATCTTCCAAATATTTTGTATTAAGGGTGTATGCAACCTTGCAATATGTGTTAGAATTATCTCCCTTTGAGTTTGTTAACTGAGCGATATCTAATATTTCAGGCTTATTCAATTTAATGTATGTATTTTTTTTGTATGAAATATTGTGACATCATTGATATATAATGACTATAGAATTAAAATATTATATCTTACAGGTTTGATAAAGCGTGGAGCTCTTTTAGAAAGGAAACAGTAATGGCAGAGTGTGGTAACGTGTCACCTTAAATAGTTTGTACTATCACACTGCTACTTTTTCGTAATTGATTTTTTTTGAAAGCCTTTTTGTCCACATAGGCTTAATCCCAGAGAAAAACCTAAAATTAATAAACAACAATAAGAGTTACAGGTTAGTGGTCACCATCGGAAACCCATGAGAAACATCTTAAAGTCATCAACACAGGTAACCCCGGAGAAACATCTGTAAATTTTGTCACCACAGGAAACCATTGACAAACTTCTTTAAATGAGTTCCACAGGTAACCCCTATCAAAACATCTGTGAACTGTGTCACCACAGGTAACCATTGACAAACTTCATTAAATCAGTTCCACAGGTAACCCCTTTCAAAACATCTGTGAACTGTGTCACCACAGGTAACCCCTATCAAAACATCTGTGAATTGTGTCACCACAGGTAACCATTGACAAACTTCATTAAATCAGTTCCACAGGTAACCCCTGTCTGAAAAACACCTGTGATCTCATCAAGTCTCCACAGGCATAGGTTCACCCTTGAGAAACGTTATGCAATGTAAATCTTTCCACAGTGAACCCAGTTAAAAAAAGGCGTGCTAAACTCATCCTTGACATGAAGCACCTGTATGTAGTTAGCACAATTTAAATTAAGGACAGTCCCAGGCAACAGGTGGTGTCATAACACAAAGCCACTATGACACAGCAGATTATCTTATGTTGTACTTTTATGAATAATGCGGAACAAGAAATCTCCGACCATAAATGAGTTACACATTACATATCCATTATTATTGTTGATTTTTTTTTTGCCGGGGGATAAATTCTTAACTTCTGTGCACAGAATGTCACATGTTCTCATATCCATGTCGCCAATATAAGTCTCGGATTTCAAGCACCTGTGATAAGGCATGAAGCCAATAAATGTATATTACCGGTATATATAAAACATAATTTGCGATTTTCAGATTAAGTAATACATTACAAACAAAACTGGTTAATACTTCCTTCCATAACCAGTCCGTAATACAAGTCCGACTGTTTGTCAAAACAATGGCGACATTTTGTATGGATTCAAAACTTCAATACAGCTAACATCAGATGACAAATCGATTCAAAATTTCAGTTTTTTCTCTCCTTCAAAAATCAATTTGGCTAGACAATTGAAGGCATAATGATATACCAACTGTATACGTTGAAACTGCATAGGTGCATTATACAGGCATGGCTGACTTCACTGTGTTACACAACAAAATCAATAAAATTTAAATTTTCTATGTCACAACTACAAATTTAAGACATCTTCTGTCTAGATAAGGGTATTGATTTTGTTTGTAGGACACCAGGCTTGCAGAAACCAATCCATATTTGCCAAAAATAAGTGAGAAACTTATAAAGAGATGGTTTATGATGGTTATGTCAAAACTATACGGCTCTAATACAAAAGGAATCAGAAATGTATCATAACATGGATTGTATCTTTACCAGTGACGTGTAAAGAAGAAGTTTTTTTGTGGCAAGACTAAGATGTCAATGTTCTCCACAAGTTTAGATTTAAATATTATATGTACGGTTGTGGGATGGTGATGTGAATTATAAGTAGCGGTCCAATGTTCAGGGTGAAAAAAACAAAAACCGAACAAACGTTATCCTTGATCTACATAAATATTGAATCTGTGATATTTCAAACAATCTTAAAAATCAAAACTTCAACGTTTGTGTTCTGGGAAAATATGACACAATTGTTTAAGTTATCAT